GAGGGAGGGGGAGAGGGAGAGAGAGGGAGAGAGAGAGAGAGAGAGAGAGAGAGAGAGAGAGAGAGAGAGAGAGAGAGAGAGAGAGCCCGATGTGAGAATTGAGGCGGCCGTACATAGGCAGGGGGCAGGGACGATCTGCAGCCCACGATCTGTTGCGTACAAACGGAAAATGGAATCGAGCTGTATTCGGCAGCAAGAGGTATGGGGAGAGAGGCGTAACGAAGCATGCAGCTGACAGACTTGAAGTTCGTAATGTTCATGCTGAACCAAGCATCTACAGCACTTAAAAATACATGGATTGAAATCTATCTATAGTAATCCGCAGCAACCCCGCATCAGAAGCTGCTCTAATCTTTGACACAGCAATGCAATGAAGACGGGCTCTGCCTCCTCAAAACAGCGACCGTACTGGCAACACTACTCCAACGCCTGAGCCACTGTATGCGAGACAAACTTTCGGCTGTTTTTCGGTCCCCACAGCAGCAGCGCCTAACGTACGTGCAAGAACCTGCGCGCCATCAGCGCTCGGCTTGTCTATACGTATCTTACTTCGGTATGTAGTACTCACGTTCTCTGCGTGGCGGCTTGCTTGGGAGTATCTCGTAGATCTTGGCGGGAAGGGGTGGTTCCGAAAAGAAACGCGGCTCGGGGAAGCTCAACCGTCAACTGGGACTGGGCCGAACGGGCGCGACGAAGGAGGAGAAGGCAGCGACGAGAGACGCAGAGACGGAAGAGATTAAAAACGACGGGGGGCGTGAAACGACACCTCTACGGTTGACCCCTCGATGGATTCTAAGCATACCTCTCTCTATAAAAGGAACCAGAAGACACGCACCTTTGCGCCGGTTGTGTCTTGGTTGGCGTGTGGGTTGCTGTGCGTGTGTGTGGCGTGGTGTGTGAGGGTTGGGGATCGCGGAGAGACTATCCGCGAGCGCACGTTGAACCTCTACATATGTTTTCGTTCGCCACAAGAACATTCTCCGCAATTTAGTCTCTTCCGATTTTTTTGGTTCAAAATTTCGGGGCAGACTCCGAACCGTGCTGCCAGAATTTGTGATGAGAGAACAGCCCCGAGCACAACGGACAGTACGTAGGCCTTGGTTGTGGAGTGTGGAGGTCCTGATGGAGTAGGCCATGCATTTGTGGTCTTGAAAGATAACCCGAAACAGACTAACTGTTACGCGCCAGCAAGTGTGTAAATTGTTGTGTGTAAATAATAATGCCGAAAAAAAGCTGTAATGCATGCTATACGCTAGGGATATGTAGTCTAGACTATGTATTATAGTACATGCTATACGACATGATAACGTGAACTCCTGAAATCCTGGGGCGTGCGTGAATGATGAGAGCTGATTACCATTATATAGGCCCGCCCCTATTCTATATACGGCCTGCTGACTAGCCGGATGGTCTAGTTCCGCGATTAAAAGACTGAGTCAACGTTGACTAAGTGGTCTAATGGTCAGAGCTTTCTTACACAAGGTTCCACGCACGGGTTCGAATCCCAGTGGTCCACTTACACAAGAACCGCCATTTGTTTACCAAACAGCAACGCATGGCAAGGGGTCCATCCCCGGAGATCCCTACTCTCGATCCCAGTGATTAAAAAGCTTAACCCCATGTGATCCGGCCGGGTGCTAACGAGCTCAGCGCATATCTTTTAATCGACAAAATTAGACCATCCGGCTAGTCAGCTCGCGGAACTAGACCATCCGGCTAGTCAGCGCTGACTAGCCGGATGGTCTAGTTCCGCGATTACGGCCACCCCCCATTCTCCATCACACCGAACCATTCATTGTGGTATTATGCATGAATGCAGGGCAACAAACATTTATTTACAGGCTTGACGAGGAGCTCCACCCACTGTGCTTCTTCTTCTCTCGGGAGAATACATGCTATACGTAGGTTTTGCTATAACTACAGTAGTATGGACACATGATGATGTAGTTCACAGCAGTAGATAGACTACAGCAGTAGTAGTTATTATTCGAAGTAGTTGAGTTGCACGTGCGTGCACGTACTGGCGGTCATCGTCGTCGCCAAACAAAATAAATTGAAACGCACACACAAAACACCTGTGTTCCAACAAGTTCCAACAACAGCAGTATAAGTAGTATTATTAGGAGGAGGAGTAGTTTGGACGGCAGCAACAAGTACAACTAACGTTCGTTGCCGTGTGCCTCGGACTTGTTGGGTCACAGCAAAAGCAGTCGGCACGAAAACGCAATTCCAGTAAGAGGTTAATTAACCTGCAGAAGAAGTATTATTATTACTATATATAGTGTTGTTGAAGAGGACCGGAGCACTCACTACTACTACTAGGGTTAAGTATTGGCCCCCCGCCCCCCAATGGGGCTGTGGGCCAACATCCAGAACGGATGGTGGTGAGTGTCCGGGAGGAAGGGAAGAAGAAGAAGAAGGGGAGAGGATTTGTAAGGGCGGGAAGAAGGGACGGTGTTGGGAGAGGCAAGGAAGTGATGAAGAATTCCGGCACTCGACGAGCGCGCGGTCCTGTCGGGGATGAAAGGAACATGTCAGTCCGTAGTCTTGTCTATCGGAATCGAAAAGCCGCAAAATGGAGGTATTGTACATTATGTACACGACGACGGAGAAGGCCGACGAGGAAGGTACGAAGAGAGAAAATTGCACCCCACGTTCGAAGTCGGTGTGAAATCCGCGGCAAGGATGGAGTGCGAAGGGAACAAAAAAAAAACGGAGACGTCGACGTTTGCGTCGTGGAGCGATCCTTCTGGTACTCACCACAACGCAAGACGGGGAGGTTAAATACCCATCGTGAAAGTCAAAGCGCAGGTCATAGCTGCATATGACTCATGCGCGGAGAAGTTACCACACGGAGACTTATCAACAAGAAGTTTGAAGGCCGGCTGAGAAGGTTTGAAGACACAAACACTTCCGCGGCGACGATGGCAAGCGCAACGTCAAGACTTCACAAGAAGAAAAGTGCATACAAAAAAAGAAAAGGCCGGATGGCGACCTATGGCTCTCTCTCTCAGAATGAAGGGATTCCCACAATTTCCAACAGGTAGTCCACAAGTATCGAGGAGGACGTCGGAACGGTTTTTAATGTGGAGACAACAGCAACAACAACAACGATGAAGGTCGACCCGTCCTGCGTCGTTCAGTGTAAAATGATAAATGCAAAAGGTGGACTGCGTAAAGATCCAGCTGTCTTTTTCGGCAGTGGCAAAGAAATATGCGACCACATGCCGCGAAAAAAAAAAAGTTGAGCGGAATTACTCTATTATAGTAAATAGAACACCGCCTTCTCTGTTGTTGCAGGTTTGCTTCCACAACCCGGGAGTCCAACCCACTCTTGTATTTCGGCCTACAAGACTCCAATCGACACAAGCACCGGTAGGAGAGTGCGTGGGAGATGCCGTGACGTCACAACTCCACTCTCCTACGACATCTATGTGTACAGTAGTACTGCTGTCGTTGTAGCATGCATGTGGAACATCTCCGAGGCGTCCTCCTGCGCGGTAACGACAACATCGCGAGAGCTCTACGTGTACCTGTCGTCGACACATGTGGCAGCCGCGCGATACACGAACGGATGTTTGCATCGCATTGTACTATGGTTCGCCGTGGCAAGAAGTATCCCATCCCGTTAGGTCGTTGCGGTACTTGTAGCACGCGGACGTCGTTCGGCGTCTAGTCCATACTGCTGTAGCAAAAACACAGCAGCAGTAATCGAGCTATGCATGAAATTTTTTGCTCTGGTTCACTTTTGCCTCCACAACACGAGAATCCCACTGCTGTATCTCGACCTACAAGACTCCAATCAATAAACCAGCACTGGCAGAAGTGCGTGGAAGATGCTGTGACAGCACAACTAAGTCGACACTCGTACGACTTCCATGTAAAGTCGGCGTCTGGTCCATACTGCTGTAGAAATTCAAAAATCGAGCCATTTTTTTTTTATTTTTTCCATACTAATAACAAGAAATGTGTCACGTCACGACGACCATCCTGTAAGTATATATATAACATGATACAATAGCCTACATACATACATACCTGAACAACCTCGACGAAACTTCTGTCACTCGTATAGTCCGTGCACAACAATGAATCCATAAATTCCCCCAGCACAAATGACAACTTTTCTCTGCACACATGTGGTTGTTCCGAAATCTGAAAGTACCGGCAAACGCCCTGTTTCCAGGCGCATGGCGTGACGGAGGGTTTTTGTTGTTGTTGTTTTTTCCTTGACTTTTTATCCCCGAAACACCTTTAAAACTTGATTCGTTTACACATGGTCTTTATTGCCGATGCCAAAAAACTCAACGGATTCGGACACATGTCGGAATTCTGCGGTTGGGGATTTTTTTTTTTTTGTAATTCTCGAAATTACAGGAGATATCAGAGAATAACTGAATGTAGAGGATCAACTTGATTCGTTTACAGCGCGACAACCACCCGACCGATTTCAAAATAAACAGTGGCAAACGATCCCTATCGTCGATCTACAGTTGGGGGTTTGGGGGTTTTGCTGGGAAAAAATCTAGTTTTCGAGATATTCAACATGTTGTGCCGCACCATGGGTGGGTGTGCTTTGTTTGGTGGGCGACACAACACGCACAAACAACTCTCGCACACGTTGCAGCCCGAAGAACACAAAATACCCACGCAAGCACCATGGGGAATCCTAGGGGGCGGCCTAAGAAGAAGAAGATCGGCTATCGCGGAGCCGATGGCCGGGCGGCTCCTAAGAAGCCGAAGCCGGCGCAGCAACATGAGCTTCCACCCGGTGGTGCTGGTGATGCGCTCTCCCATGACCGCGGGGCAGATTTGATGGTCGTGATGTGTGTTTTGCGTGCGCATGCCAGCGCTGTACAAATGTTTGTTCAACAGCTTTGCCGGGTTTGTTGTGCGCCTGCTGCGTGTTCCCTTTCTTTTGTGTTGGGCCTTGTTGTTTTTCCAGCACTCCCTTGCGGTTGACTGCCTCCGAAAGTTTTTTATATACTAATTATATATAGAGTGATAGAGTGAAGTGTTGTGCATGCGAATAGACTGTGCATGTGTTTTCGTCCTGCATTGCGTGTATATTATTACAGTATTACAGCGCGATCAGTTGTGAATAAGAAGGGTATGGACGCGGGGAAATTTCACAGAGGGGGCACCGTGGCATAAAATGGGGGTGCCTTGGCGCAAAAGCGAAAGATTGACTGACGAAGTAAGGGAAATCTGCGTTTTGTGAGAAGCGGCAGAAATAAACCGTTGGCCAATCAGAAAGCAGGAAGCGGATGAGCGTGTTGATTCCTATTTTCAGTATATACTCGCTTCGCCGTGTTTACCGGGGGCGAGCGAGAGCACGTGTGTGTGCTTGTGGTGGCCAAGGGTTGTTTCTGCCGTGGCGTTTCTTTCGTACGTCGGTGGATGACTCCATCGACGGCGGCGGCTGCAGCGGGGGCGGCGGCGCCCCTCCCTCTGCCGCGGTGGCGGGCGCGGCTGCCGCCATGGCGTTGGCAGCACAGCAGGACCCGTCGGGCCCGCCGCCGCAGCAACAGCAGCAGTCGCAGCCGCAACCGCAATGGCAGCAGCAACAGCAGCAGCAAACGCAGCAGCCGCAGCAACTTCAACGTCAGCAGCGGGACGCAACAGCTGGAGCCGTCGCCGCGGCGGGGTCGGCGGTCAGCGCGGCTGAGGCACGGCTGGCCGACGGCATGGCTGGTTTTTCCGTAGAGGGCCCTGGTGGGTCGTCGGCCGGGGCCGAGGGGGACATCCTGGGTGCCGGTGCGGCGTTGGAGGCGCAGGGTGGGTCGCAGCTGGTGCGGCTGAAGCAAGATAACGAGAATCTTGTCTCCAAAGTGTCCGCTTTGGAGCAATCTCTGCAACAGTTGTTGAACGACCGAGCTGGTGGGGCGGGTTCGCACGTGGTCGGCCTGCAGGATGCTGGTGGCGCGGCGGACGCCGCGGTGGCGGTCAGTGTGGGTCTCGGTGCCGCTGCCGCTCC